TTTAAATGGAATTATATAATAAATAAAACAATATAGGAAATCTACTCTCTCTTTTAGAATTTATTTATATATCAGATAATCCCGATCTATAATCTTTAGTTAAATAACCAATAATAACTAGAAATTTACTTATTCTTTTCAAACAGAGCTGCCACTTGTATAAAGAATGTCTCGACGTGGTAAATAGGTTCTGAGCCCAGTTGCATTCTGAGTGAATTTTCCTTTGCAATTTTCATGATTTGGAGTTTCTTTTTGTCGTCGAGCTTTGACTCCATGAGGCAAATGAAAAGTGTTTGTAAGACGTCATTTGGGTTAATAATGGTGAGCGTCTCGACAATTTCGTCCTTCTTCTTTTCAAATTCTTTTGACGAAATGCCTTTGACAAGAGCTTGACAGGTATATGCCAACTTCTCTTTCCATGATAAATTCTCCACAACGCCGCAATTCCGTTTCATAAAAGCGCACGCTTCCGCAATGTAAATATCACCTCGAGAGATATTCACGATCTTCTCGTCCCCGCCTAACTTCTCGACTATTGTTGTCATCTCAGCCTTGTTAGGCGCAGGGACGCGAACCATCACACATCGCGACCGAATAGGAGAAATGATGTTGCAGACGTTAGTACAGAATAATATAAACCGACAGACAGAAGAGCCAATTTCCATTGTCCGTCGAAGAGACTGTTGGGCGTCTTGGGACAACATATCTGCGCCATGAATCATAATAACTCGGAACTTTGGTTTTGACGTGGAGTTGTTGGTTGTTATAGAATTTGTTGGAGACTTTGAAAGTGAGGGACTGTCCGTGTTTGGTGCGAAAGATAGCTTCTGTTGTGATTTAAAAACGGATGTCAGTGTTTGGAATGTTGTGAGAGACTTGATGTATTCTTGGACAACAACTTTGTCGGTCTCGGTTGAGTCGAAAGGATCTAACTCAACATGGAAAGGGGAAGAGTATATCGTTAGGTCTTGTGGCTTACCTTTGACATCGATCGTTGTTGTAGAACACTCCACCTTCATCACACCTGGACCAAACATGTTTTGAAGGTACAAAAGTGCGCGGGTATAACGGCCACTCCCTTCTGGACCATGAAACAGTAAATGTGGCATATCGGAATTTTTACTTAAGTTGTTGAGAAATTCGTTGGTGTCTTTCGCGTGGGTAAGCTGTTTGAAATTAGTTAAACGGTCTGCGAACATATGTGTGATAGTTTATATTATTTAAGTTCTTTTAGTTAAGTATTTCACATTTTTAATATACTATTATAATACTATTATAATTTAATTGTTTTTATTAGTATATATAGTTTATGTATTTAATAAATATCCAAAAAAGAATAAATTTAAATATCATTCATTTTATTACAGTTATTAATACAGTCTTTCAACAAAATAATAAAAAAAATATAGAACTATACTTAATTGTTAAATTGTATTATAATAAATAATTATATAGTTTTGTAATCAATGGCTCGTCAAATATCAAATTTACTTAAAGATACTTTGAGTTAAATTTAGTCAAAACTTTATTAGTTTATTTTAATAAAAATATAAAAATAACAAAAATTTTATACTTTTTAGCTTAAAAAATTATCAAACCAAAAATATTTGAAATGTAACTTCCACAATGTTTTTTTCTGTTTCTTTCGATATTATTTAATTCATCTTCAAAAAAATCCACCGCATTCAAAATTATACAAAAAACTTGAAAAACAATTTATGACCACCCTGATAACAAGACAAACCCGATCGTCGAAAGGCAGGACTGAGACACCGACCGAGTGGTCGCAGACGCTTTCTGATCTGTACAATAAAACCACCCATTTGGCAACAACACCAGTGCAAGACTTTCAAATCAAGACGGATGCATTGATGACAATATTGTGTATTGATGGGACACTCCACGTTCCAGTTGAATTGTCTGCGCATGGAGTACTTGCAACAACAAAAGCTGGTGAGACTGTTTATGTGTGTGCAACAAAGTCGTCGTTGTTGAAGATAGTCACGCCACTCCTGACACGCCGACCACTTCTCATCACAAATGCAACAATATATGACATCAACGAAATGATATATGCGGCAATGGCACTCAAATTGCCATCGCTTGATGTTGCTGAGCAGACGGCAAAGTGGATGTTTGACCACCCATCGGAGCGTCTAGATGGTGTTGCTGAGACGTGGGTGGTCAACACCTTACTTCGTGAGAAAAAAGAAGTTGCGTATCAGATCCGTGACAATTTGATTGTGCCACAAAATACACAGAACGTGTTTTCGAGTATGCTTCTTGACAATGGATTGACTGATGTTGCATGCTCACCAGAGAACATGGGTGTTATTGCTGGGTTTTGTGCTGAGAATGCGCTTCGTGAAGGTGGGAAGTGGTTCAAAGAGTTACAACGCCTTTATGTAGCTGGTGGACGAAACAAAGAGTAT